AATACATTGGAGGGTGTGCTTTGTCTGCCTGATGATGTTTAGTCTGTTGTTCAGCATAAAATGAATACTGTGCAAATTTTCCAACATTTAACCAAAATCCAGCAACAGCACAATCAAACAGATAAAGTTGGTAGATCAAAAAAATTCTCTGATTAAGAAAAATTAGCACTATATCTTTTAATTTTAAATGTAACAACTTCCAGAAAACTTGAATGTTACAATTCATGATTGGGAAAGAAGTTTATTTTGTTTACCCATTGCAAGTTGATGAACTGACATTATTTATTTAATTTTGTTGAATATGTTCTCCCTTTTGTAGTACTATTTTAGTGGCTATGCTCATTTAAACTTAACTGAGTGTGTAGTAAACTTTTATTTTAATTTAGTTTTTTTCCCTAACCAAATATAAGGTACATGTGCAAAACATATGCACACCATAGCCAGTTTGAATGTTTGACATCTTTTGCATCCTGTCGGTGTACATTTTTATATTCTAAATAAATCCTGCTTAAACAAAACACAAGAGACTGGTTATAGTAGGCCACTATTATACTCCTTAAAGTCTTTCTTCCTTTAACACTCCAATACATTTAGCAGCTCTCCCAAAAGGCCCACACACCTGCAGCAGGTTGTTACTTCCTCCCAGCTCCAACTTGATTTATCTAAGACTCTGTGGGCGAAACTGTCAGCCCAAACCACCAGGTTACAGCCACAGGGAATATGCCAACACTATTAAAAGTGGTTGTTTTCCAGCATTAAGATGGCATTCAAAGATTTTGAAACTTAAATGGGATAAAAAAATAGATTGGAAGGTCTTTGATCTTAACCACTCTCTGTTTCTCTGTGACAGATTTCATGTGAAACAATCTTAGTCAATGTTGGTGTTCATGTAGTTGACTTTATGTTCATGAGGACCATTAATACTGTTATGTGAACGCACTATTGTTTCCACTCAAATATATTCCCCATAATATTAAAGCTCAGATCTGACCTTAACAGTATTTCTAGTTCACCTGTAAACTCCCAAATCCTTAAAAATTCCCATTCCCATCAAGAAAAAAAACTGTGCATTCAATAAAATACGCACAATTTCTGTTGAAAGTACACATTGAAAATAAAAAGCCAAACAGATAATCTGCTTGATCCAATGGAGAAGTGAATATTACTTGGTGAGTTTTGCAATTTATTTGATATTTTACAGATAACCGAACTGAATGTAGAGAGCTGTAGAGAATATGAGACTTGTATGTAAACACATTCCAGCCTCATTCATAAGACAGCTCTGTCTGGGACTGATGCATGTTCTGTCCTCCTCCAAGCATTCAGCAAGTAAAGTGAGCCCGCCTCTGATGCGATTTCATGTGATCATGAAAAACAGATAAACAAAAGACCATTTAAAATACATCACTAGTATTTAGTTGCACCATCTTTGGCTTTTATAATAGCTTGCAGTCTCTGAGGCATGGACTTGATGAGCAACAAACAGTATTCTTCATCAATTTGGTGCCAACTCACTTTGATAGCAGTTGCCACATTAACTTTGCAGGTCGGAGCCTTCTTGTGGACCTTTTTTTTCAATTTCCACCACAGGTTTTCAATTGGGTTGAGATCTGGACTATTTGCAGGCCATGACATCGACTGAATGTGTCTTTCTCCAAGGAATGCCTTCACTGTTTTTGCCCTATGGCACAATGCATTGTCATCTTGGAAAATTACTTCATCACCTCCAAACATCTGTTCAATTGAAGGGATGAGAAAACTGTCCAAAATTTCAATGTAAGCTTGTGCATTGATAGAAGAATTAACCACAGTCATCTGCCAAACACCAAAACACCAAACAAAAGTTCCAGCATCATCACCTTGTGCAATGAAGATTCTTGACTCATCACTGAAGATAACTTTCATCCAGTCATCCACAGTCCATGATTGCCTCTCCTTAGCCCATTGCAGTCTTGTTCTTTTTTGTTTAGGTGTAAATAATGGTTTTCTTTTAGCTTTTCTTGTATTGAAATCCCATTTCTTTTAGGGTATTTCTTACGGTTCCGTCACATTCATTGGCTCCAGCTTCCTCCCATTTATGCTTCATCTGTTTAGTTGTACTTTTTCGGTTTTCAAGACAAATGACCTTAAGTTGTTTGTCTTGARGCTTTGATGTCTTTCRTGGTCTACCAGTACCCTTGGCTTTAAAAACCATTCCATGCTGTTTGTATTTGGTCCATATCTTGGATACAACTGACTGTGAACAGTCCACATCTTTAGCAATCATGTGTGAAGAGTTACCTTTTTCAAGAAGTTTCTKAATCCACTCTTTTGTTTCAAGAGACATTTCTCTGGAGCCATGGTTCTTGCTACACCACATGGTTCTTACTACAKCACTTGGCCCAACAGCCCTCCAAAGGTGTCATGACTGCAGGTGTTTTTAACTGCAAACTAACGAGCAGATCTAATCTGAGGCAGGTGTCCATTTAGGGAAAGGAAATTGACTGGGTGTGTCCTTATTTTCTACCTCCAATTTGAGTGATTCCATACTTTTTTTCCTCAGAATTGAGCGATTCCATTTTTTTCRCTGTTTGGTCAATAAAAATAACATTCACTGAATTCTACAATGTTTTCTCTTCATTTCTTTGAGTGTTCCTGAAAGCCAACAAGTTGCAATTTGGCATGACCTTATTATTGTATCATGTTTTTGATCTAAGTTTGTTTTACAGAATGAAATGTCTGAATGAGTGTTCATCCAAGACTGGTGATTCCATACTTTTTGCCAGGGGTTGTAGCCTGTGTTCATAATGGCATTGTTCCAAGAAACCCTCCACTGATCATCTTCAAAAGTTTTTAAAAAAAACTTCAATGCACAAGCTTTCTTGTGTGACCTGGCACTTGTGAACTGGCACAGGATTGGTATGATGCTAGAGGTCCAAGATGCTTGGTCATATTTCAGAACCTCATTCACTGCCACTTTGCACAAGCATGCCCCCTTCAAAAAAGATTAGAGTAAAAAATCACATTAGCCCCTGGTTCAGTACTGACCTGTCTGAACTCACTCGCACTAAATAAACTCTGTGGCATAGAGCTAAAGCCTCTAACAGAGCAAGTGACTGGCAATCATACAGGACTTTAAGAAATAAATGTACCCAGTCTATTAGACAGGCAAGATCAAACTATTTCAAACAGCAACTAACAGCCAATGGCCACAATCCTCAAAAATTTTGGAACACAATCAGAACAATGGAAAACAAAAATATGCCCTCTCAAAACTGCCCACTCTTATTAAATATGATGGTCTTGTCATCACAGACAAATCAAAAATGGTAACCATTTCAACAAACACCTTGCTGAGGCAGGTTGTCCATACAAGGACAGGACTGGTGCTCCTATTTCTCCTTCTGTTAATCAATCATCTGTTGTCCACTCATCTGCCTCAGACTCTCCCATTTCTCATTTCAACCTATACAGGAGTCTGAGGTTCTTAGTGAACTGCTCAGCCTGGACCACAAATCAGCTGGTCTTGATGCATTAGATCCCTATTTAAAAAGAAATATATATAT